TGTGCTCTGGCCCTGTGCTGGACTCTGTCGCAGGCTCTCCACGGCCTGGTCTGTGGATAGGTGACTGTAGAGGTTGCCGAGGGAGGGCCTGTCCTTGGCTGCAGTGAGGGCAGAGAAAGGTCTGTGGCCTTCATCAGCTCCAGGACCTGCTCAGGTGAGGGGCACTGAGTCACAGCCCCGGGGCAGGGAGCGCCAGCACTGAAGGGCTGGCACCATTGCCTGCCACTGGACTCCATCCAGGGAGGGGCCAGGCAGACAAGGCAGGAGAGGCCGGCAGCTCCTGCATGCTCGTCCCCCACCCCTGGCAGGAGCTCGAGCTTGTTGGCATGGCCAGGCTGCTCACTGACTGGGCCAGGGCAAAGGGTCCCTCGAGAAGGGCCATGGGCTTGGCTTTGTCTCAGGAGAGCATGCGATGCAGGCAGGACGCCGAGCTCTGCCCTTGGTGCCTGGTGTTTCCTGGGGACATGTCACTCACTCGCCTGGAGTCTCAGTTCTCAGTTACTCGAAACAGCAGGTCCTCTCCCCAGGGAGAGGCCAAGAGAAAATAGGGTGCGTGGGTGAGGCTGCAGGGCTGAGGTGGGGACCCTGACCCTGAGGGCTTCCTTGTTGGGGAGCACCTTCCCGGCCAGCGCGGTGGCCTAAGGAGCGGGGACTAACAAGTCTGCTGGGTGGGCCGTCGGCGAACTCAGGCAGAGCAGCTGCAACCACAGCGCCTGCCGAGGCCAAGTCACGCTGGGCGTGGGGTGTGAGCAGAGCTGGCTTTCCCCAGGTCTCCCAGCCCTGGGAAGCAGTGAGTGGGGCGTGAGCGAAAGGGTACTGGTAAGGCTGCCTGGCCCTGCTGCCCTGGTGTGGTTGGCACTCAGCTGGGCATGGGTGGGGGAGCCACGTTGGTGCTCAGCACAGCGCTGGGCCTATTGGGTGGCTGGCTGGGTGGGAGGGTGTGATGCAGGCCACCCTACAGTGGCGCATTTCCAGTGGCTCTATTTCAACAAGGTACAGGTACAAGTGGCATTGATTTTAATAATAAATTTTATTTATGTGTCCAAAATAGTATTTCCACTTGCACTTAATTTTAAATGTTGTTCACAGTCTACTTAGGTTTTTGCCCTTTCAGACACAAAGTGTGTTTTGCACTCGTCTCAGCAGGAGCGGAGCTGCCTGGGAATTGCTGCGGCCTGCGTGCTGTGGTCAGGGCCCTTTGGGCAGGCTCGGCCTGGGGTCTGGGTCTCTGGCTCGAGGCCTGCATGGTGGGCACAGCCCTCAGAGCCACTGCTGTGGCGTAGGAGGCTGTGGTTACTCGGAGTCGTGTTGAGGCATTCAGTGGCACTAGCATCGTTTGTCTTCTGAAGAAATGCTTCTCTAAGGATCCTGAGCGCTGCTTTCAGACCCTGAAAACAAAACCTGGTTCCTTTCCCCGAAGTATGGAATTGGTACTGAGACTGAAAAAAGAAAACGCAGGCTGCGAGGTTGGAGAGCACTGTGTCAGGTACTCAGCCACGTCACAGTGTAATCCTCATCAGGGTCTGGGACAGAGACCTGACCGTGTGCATGGGAGGAGGGTGCACATCTCACTGAGCTCAGATGAAGTAGGCTTGCCCACCTGGAAGCAGTGGTACCCAGATTCGCAGCCTCCCGGCCGGTGCTGTTTATCCATCTAACTGTTCTCCCTCCTGTTCACACGGCTGGTGTCTTGCAGAGACCAGTAACAACAGCAAATTAAAAAAAATTTTTTAAATTTTATTTTGAGAAAGGGTTATATACTAAGTTGCTCAGCTGGGCTCAAACTTGCAATCCTCCTGCCTTAGCCTTCTGAATAACTGAGATTACAGGTGTGCACCACCACATCTGGCTAAAATGGTCTGACTTTTTACGACCCTACACATTTTTTCAAAAACAATGTCATGGAACTGACAAGTTCAGCCTCATAGCTATGACATTTGGAGAGAGGGTCCCAGGCTTCTTTTGCCTCTTCTATGACAGAGTTTCTCGAATACCCGATTGCCAGGACAGGCCTGAGGTCTGGAGCACAGCTGGGGCCCGGGCACCTGTCCTGCGGATTAAACTACCTGCTCCCTGCTGCAATTATAAAAGGCTTAGCAGGGCTTGATCAGAGGTCCAAAGTTCTCACTTGATCATCTGGAAATGGGTCCATGCTACCATAGAAGAGCAGTCCCGCCATATGCGCACTACGCAGCTGGGCCGGTCCCCGAGCTCCGCTTCTTCTGTTTCTAGAGTTTGCAGTGCTGCATCTCGGTTTACACTGCTGTTCTGTTGTTGGAACTAATTCCCCCTTCCCATTCTCACTTGGCCATTAGAAGTACATTCTGAGCATCCTTTCTTCCTGTCTCCACCCCTTGTTGCTTTCTTCTTTTTCTTTCTCTGTGGGGTGCATGAGTGACGGGCACAGTAGACACCTGTCTGCTTTTCGGGGTGTGCACCTGCATCGTTTCAGGGTTTGGTTTTCTTAGGGACTTCCTGTTTCAAAGGCTAAAAGCTTTGAGCTGATGCCTGCCCATGCTCAGCCTCAGTTATACTATTTTACTGTTTTTCATTTCTCTTGTCATGGGCACTAGTAATTTCATCTGTATTTTATCTGCTTTCCTCTTCTTTTGGAAAGACTGCATTTTATTGTAAAAAGAATATTATTTAGATAGATCAAATTCTGAAAGGAAGGCCATATTTTCTCAGGGTTAAATGCAACGTTTTTCTGATAGTGTAGTGGCTTCTATGTATTTGCTTCAGAGCAAATCCAGCTGTCATTGGGTCCAGGTTAGTTTTTCCTGAGCAGGCAATGCCCACGCTGGCTGGTGCTTGTCTTTTAGCTGGAAGGTGTCGTTTGCTGTCTTGTCAGCTCCCTGTTGCTTCCTTGAATCACTGAACAGCAGTACATAGGCAGTGTTTCAGTTATCGGCAGTCACAAGACCCCTGTGCTTACGTCCTGACCTTCTGTGACCTCTGAGTGAGCTGTTGGTGTTTTCTGTCTGCTTAACAGGGACCTTAGGGTTGGGAAAGAGCTGTGGTCCTGGGAAGTGGCTGCAAAACAGTCTGGGGCCACTGGACTCAGGAAGAGAGCTCGTCTGGTGCCCAGATGTGTGCACTCGGGCTGCACGTGGCTTTGGCTGTTACCTTTGCACACACAGGTCACTGTGGTCGGTCACTGGCTGCCCGGTCCTGTGTGTAGCTGCAGTGGTGTAGTGGACAGGGCCCCAGGCCAGCCCGAGGGTGAGCAGACAACACAGGCTGCTCCCTGCCTCTGGAGGGCCGGAGGTTGCACGGTGCTTGCCTGTGCAGGCGGGGCCTGTGGAGCACACAGTAGGCCTCGGCCTCCTCTGAGTGAGCGAAGCCCAGACAGCAGCGCGGGCAGAGAGAGCTCGGTGCAGCTCTGTGTCACGCACTGTGCCTCGTGGCTCAGCACAGAGCACCACCTCCTCTAGGGGTGGCCTGTTGGAGGTGCTTCTGAAGCGTCCCGTGGCCAGGCTGTCCTCTTCTTGTCTGAGAGCTCGGTCTGCCCCATCCTGCAGATCCCTTCCGTCCATCCACAATACGGGCAGCCTGTGCGCTGCAGGCCGTGGAGCTGTGTTGCTGCTCTCAGAGCCGACACTGGGCTCTGAGCTGGGTCACTCGCACCCATACCAGGCACGGCCGGCAGGGCTTTCTAGACTCTGCGCAGCCTTAATAATAATTACTGTGCTCTGTACTGATAACAATGCTTAATATGTGTTATTATTGTTAATAATGGCTATCATTAATAATTGCACCCAATACTTACTATCTTTAATAATAATAATTAGCACACGGGAACCAGTTGTACCATTGTATTATCTTTAGAACGAAAAGCTCAATCTGGGAGCCAGTAGTTTGCAGGGAACCAGCTCCAGCCTGTGCCCTTCAGAAGGGTGTGAGTCACCACCCAGGACAGTGGTGGCGGTGTCAGGCCCCTCCTGGGCCACCTGAGGCCCGGGTCTCACCCTCCCACCTGCCCCACCCCACCTGCCGCACACCTTGGGACTTCTGAGTTTCTCACGAAGAGGGGACTGGGCTGACCCTTCCTCCCCTCATACTGACTTGTGTGACTCTTGCGGGCAGAGTCCGTGTTTATGGCTCGTGTGTTGATAAAGCTTTGATCTTCTGCCTGGCTGTGTTAGGGTTTAAATGCCGGTATGACTTTTTTTTCTTCTTTTAAATAAAAAAAAACAGTTTAAAAATGTTTGGCGAATTAAACATTTTTTAGCTTTTCACACTTTGATACAAAGCAGAGAAATATTGCAGTGACAACAGATTTCAACAGATTTTCAACTAAACTAATTTGCTTTATTCTTTAGGGTACTTTACTTTTCTCCGCAAACACAAAGGAAGATATTTTTTCCAGTAGTAACCAGTGTTAATGTATAAAATGATTTTAAGGAGATGAGGTTCTGTATTTGGATGTATATTTGACAAGAGCTAAACATTAGTTAAGGCTTTGATGAACAGAATCTTTTCAGGCCAATTGATGACCTGTTTACCATGATTTAAGAAAGAAAGCCTGTGAGAGGAACTTCTTTTCAACTTTCACTGCCTTTCCTACACATATTCGTGTACTATTTCAGGCCCTGAAATCAAACATGCGGCCCACCCCACGAGGTTTCTTAGGAGGGGAGCTTGGGAATGCATTCCTAGGCTGGGGTGGTATGCTCACAAAACACCAGCACTGATTCGCAGTTCTGGTGAAGCGAGGCGTGCAGACCCAGGCTCTGAGCTTGCCCTGAGCCTACCTGCATGCGAGGACCTGAGCTTATCGGTGGGCCTCACTTTCAATGACTGGAGTCTCAGGGCTTCCGCCGCTGCCAGGGCAGTTCTTCAATGGGGTGGTAGCATGGGGCCCCCAGCTTGCCATAGGAGCCCTGATGAGAGGCTAGTGCAGTCTAAGCTGCCTGATGGCAGCTGAGCAGCGTTTGCCACCATCTCGTCCTCAGGGCTGGAGCTCCTGGTAACCCATGCTCTGCTCAAATCTCCCCCAGGTTTGATGGTGCCTGTCTTCTGCGTGGTGGAGCAGCTGGATGGCTCTCTCGAGTATGACAACAGGGAGGAGCATGCCGAGTTCGTCCTGGTGCGCAAAGATGTGCTGTTCAGCCAGCTGGTGGAGACGGCCCTGCTGGCCTTGGGCTACTCACACAGCTCCGCGGCCCAGGCCCAAGGTAGGCGCCCTCTTCTGGGACTGACCCACCAGCACGTGGCTCGGGGGCTTCCCCTCCTCCAGACAGGGCGGTCGTCCTGATGTGTCCTGCCTCCTTGTCTTTTGGGGAACATCTGTCCGGCACCCCTCGAGCTGCCCACCCCACCTCCTTCAGAGCGGGGTCCTCAGCTTTTGCTTCCCTAACCCTGATGTCCTCTCTGAGTGCACAGCGGGCCTTGGGCTGGTGCTGAGAGTTTACCCAAACTTTATCTTAATACATGGCGTGTAAGCACTCTGTGTTCTAAGTTTATTTCTGGGGGACTACGGCTTCCACAGTTTACGGTCACCTTTTAATTAAACAGCAGGAAATGGGTGCATCTTACTCTTTTGTATGTTTGAAAACTGTTCTGTAGCTTTGATATGGTCCATTCATTTGAAAAAAAACCCTTGTCTTTGCAGTCACTTCCTTTTACCTATTTAATCAACTATTAAAATTGCATCCTTATTTTATGTGTGCTCTGTACCCTGGGGAGCCGTCCTGAGTGTCTTGTTTCATTCTGCAGCACAGCTCATTGTTCTTTGACGCCAAAGAGTTGACAAAACACTCCCAAACCTTGAATAATGGCCACATTTTTTTTTCACCCAGTGGAATTATTATTCTTGTTTTTCAGCTGAAATGATTGAATTGTGTGGTTTATGAATGTGGTTATAACTAGGAGAGAAATATGTAACTTCCAGGTCTTACTCTGTACATGAATTCCCTATATATATTATTATCTTTACTTCATATTTGTGCAAGAGCCAAGGATTTTTGCTGTTTTGGAGCAGCGAGGTGCAGGGTGTGTCCTCACCTTGCTTCCCCTCGGGAGGGACTTGAATTGGATGCAGGCACGCTGCACCCTGGGCCCGGCCGCCTCTGCCCAGGCCGTGCACCTGAGCGGAATGAGGGGACCCGAGCCTGCGCTGGCCCCATGTGGTGTGCCAGCTCCTTGTCTGACAGGCCGTCCATCTCTGTTACTGCGGGCTGGGTGCCCTCGAGCTCACGATGGGACATGGAGTGCGAAGTGGCCAGGATTTGCTTCTGGCACCTGTGGAGGAGAGGCCTTCGGGACTTGCCACCAGAGCTGCACTGCCTGCCATGCCCAGCCTGGTGGGCCAGGCGCATCCCCCATGGGGCACATCTGGAAACAAGGCCAAGACAATTGTTTTGGAAAAATTGGTCTGAAAGTGCTAAACATTACACCTTTCCCAGTGGGGCTGGCAGGAGGCGCGTGAGCTCACAGGTGTGGGGAGCGAGCAGATTTATCACCAGGGCTGCCGCAGTCATCTCTCGGGGCAGAGAAGTTCACGTGTGTGTGTTTTGCTTTAGCCTACTAACCTCTGTTTTGGGTTTATTTTGAAGTGAACATTGAGATCTTTGCTATTGCTCAGACCCCTAGGAATGTTCAGTGTGGGGTGAGGGTCCTGCTCCAAAGGGCTGCGTGGGAAGCTGCTGTGCCTCGAAGAAGCCTGGCAGGGCAGGAGGAGCCAGCAGTGGGTGGGGTTCTGATGATGCAGGGCAGGAGCTCTGAGGTGCGAAGGTCTCTCTTCTTTGCCTTGTTTCTGCTGCTTATCTTTCTGTGACCCTCCTGGGTGGGGCGCTGGGGGACGCCCTGGCAAATCTCTGCTTTGGAGAGGCTGCAGTGTCCCTGTGTTGGAGAACTAAGAAGGACCATGCTGCCGGGACAGCAGCTTGCTCAAGCCTATTTTATTTATTTTTTTCTGCTATGTAGTCTAGGCTGGGCTTGAACTCTCAGTGAACCTCCCGCCTCAGCCTCCCAAGTGCTGGGATTAGAGGCCTGTGCCACCACGCCCTGCACCAAGCCTGTTTTAAATACCAAGCTATTGAAACATGATTCTTCATTTTGATATGAGCAGAAAAGTTTGTCAGTAAATGAGTTAGTTGGAAGGGAATTTCAGGCTGCCTGTGGAAGAATGTCTGCATAGCAGTGTGATGTTTTGGAATGGCGCTTGAGCCCAGTGGTCAGACATCACCCTTGCACTGTGAGCAGGACACTGGTTTCTCCTTCTCTGAGGGCGCTTCCTCCCTGTGACCAAGGCATTTCATTAAGAAAGCATATTTGCTTCCAAAGGATGATAGAAGTCCTGCTGAGGCCCCGTCCAGCGATGCCCCTCCACTGTTACAGTGGCCTTTTGTGTTTTGAAAGCCAGATATTGGGATCTACAAGAGAAGAGGGACAGACCTGTCATAAATCATAGAACTGTGTCTCTAGGAGACCTGTGTCCTCACTTCCTGTCTCTAGAGGGCCTGTGTCCCCTTCCTGTCTCTAGGGGGCCCGTGTCCTCACTTCCTGTCTCTAGAGAGCCTGTGTCCATACTTCCTGTCCCTGAAGGCCCGTGTCCTCCCTTCCTGTCTCTAGAGGGCCTGTGTCCATACTTCCTGTCTCTAGAGGGCCCGTGTCCTCCCCTCCTGTCTCTAGAGGGCCCGTGTCCTCACTTCCTGTCTCTAGGAGACCTGTGTCCTCACTTCCTGTCCCCGAAGGCCCATGTCCTCCCTGTCTTTAGGGGGTCTGTGTCCTCCCTTCCTGACTCTAGGGGACCCACATCCTCACTTCTGTCCCTAGAGGACCTGTGTCCTCACTTCTGAAACACGGCCTTCTCCTGCTGTGATTCTCAGGGTGTCATAGATGCACCACTTTGTGTGTGCGAAAGCTCCAGGCTACAGGGTGTCTGCCCTTCCCAGATTGGGTGGACAAAGGGCCTGAATGTGGCCCCGAGCATCTCCCAGGATGATGGCCCACAGGAAGTGTGTGGCTCAGATGTGCCAGGGCTCTCAGGAGAGGGGTGTTAGCCCTGGGTACTGCTCCCAGCTCCTGCTTCACTGGAGATAACCTTCCTCCTCATCTCCTTTCCTTCTCAGTTCTGCCCTGGGCCTTTTTGTTAGCCACCCCGTCAGGGTTCCTGCCCAAGTCAGCAGGCAGCAAGGGCAGCTGGATGCCCACCTGCAGGTTCGGCTTAGTTGTAAGTGGACATTTTATCCTCTGCTTTCTGTAAATTTCAAAATAAATTATAAAATGTATTTTTGAGCAGAGGATTTTATTTAAAAACAAACATACTGGGCAATAAATAAACCCAAATCTCTTCCAACAGGGTATTTTTGGTGTCGAAACTGTAGATTTAAGAAGAGGTATGTTAGACACCATTTCTTATTTATGTTCCAATAATTACCTCTATGTACTCATTTTCAGTGATAGTTTTGAAAAGTGGCACAGAAAAATGTATTTACTAAATGTTATGTGAATGAGGTAGACTGTTAATTACTGCAGCGATATAGAATCCCACACTTGTGCAGAGAGACAAGGGAAGTATATAAAATGTCAGCAGGGCGGGCCACGGCATTCTGTGGGATTTTCTCATAATCAGAAAGAAATAAAGTTATGAAATTCTCCTTATAAAAGTATGAAAGTGTCTTTATGAAAGTATGAAATTCTCCTCCTTCCTGAATTCTCCCCAGGATGAGTGGGAAGCTATTTTTACTTATTCCCACATTTTGATAAGCAGTCCACAGTGTCCATGTTTATCACAAATGTGAAACTTACATATCACACACGTGGATTTCTGTTTTTCTGTGTAAGATAAAAAAGGATCAATAGTCATTAATGAGCCCCTGTAATGGATGAGCCGAGGGATTTCTTGGAGTTTTAATCCTACCAGGTAACAACTGAGCAATTAACACAGAAAGGGTCTCTAAGAGATTCATCTGTATTAACTCATTTACTTCTTGCAATGGCCTTTTGAAGGGAGTTTTTGAAATTTTTTATTTCCTGGACCAAAGGTCTGCAGTGCACAGTGGTCACATTCGCTGTGCAAGGTGGTGTGTGAACCCCGCCATATCGTGGTTCTTTTCATTTCCCCTCCCTCCATCTCTCCACCTCCTTCCTTTTTGCGAAAGATTGATTTCCCTATTTCCTGTTGTCCATCTTTTCTCTTGCCATTTATAATGTGGGTTTCTCATAGAATTGAGTGAGTTACTGTCTTTTTTCCATTTTACAGAAGGGGAAGCGGAGGCAAAGAAAGGGGTGCCTGTCTCAGGGTGCAGCTGGGGTGAGGAGTGAGCTCAGAAGACCCCGGGACCCCGCAGGTCCTTAACTCGAGGCCCGGGCGCTCCCCTCCCTGAGGGCTATGGGCAGGCTGCCCCCAGCAGGCTGCATTTGCTTCTCACCTCTGACCTCAGCCCGAAGGCAGGCACTTCTGGATTGGGTGCTTGCGGAGTCACAATGCTTGCCCACATTGAGAAAGACACTGCTGTGTGTCTTTGATTTCCATGGTGAGCTCTATAAACAGGGTCTTTAAGTTAACCGAGATGGCCTTCATTAAAAACAATCAATCCGAACCCCAAAGGGTTGCTGTCTGTGGAAGCCAACTTCTGCAGCTAGCTAGAGGCCCAGCATCAGGTATTCAGTTCTGCTCCCAAGTCCCACGAGAGTCTTGCTCCCTGAGCACTGCGGTCCTTCAGATGGAGCAGCAGTCTTCAGTGCCTGGTGCATGCATCACTCTTCTGGCTTTCAGAGAGAAACAACTGAAAAACAAAGCCTGCTTTCAGGGAGCTTCCGTTTTATAGTTTGAATATGCCTGAGTTTAGTATGTGGAATCAGAGCATATAAATTTGTCTACAAGTTTGGTGCTAATTTATAACTAAATAGTTGCTTCATTCCATAGCAAATGCCTGGGAATTCCTCCTGCCTGCTGCTTTTGGAAACATGAATAAGTGGCCAGGTGAGAGGCCTGGATGGGGTCTCCTAGGAAACCCCGTCTTGGGTCCCAAAGGCGAACTCCGCACCTGAGAGCTGCATCCTTTTCCCAGGGTGGGGATGTCCACACCTGGGTTAGGGTCTTGGAACTCTTCTCCTCCCAGTCAGGGTTGGAAGGAAGGACGGCAGAGCTCGGAGATGTTATTTATTTCTCTGGAGAAATCCCCACACTCCTACAATGTCAGTTTACTTCTTGAAGCTTCAATAATCA